CTGCAGGCGGCCGCCACCTGGGTGTAGGAGTAGGCGCCGGAGAACCATGACCCGCCGCTGTTTGATGATATGTATCTCGCCTTCTCCATCGCCCCCAGCTCATGCAGCGCCCTGACCTGTGCATTCAGGAATCGGCGCGACGGCTGGGTCAGGGGTGGGGCAGAGGGGGCACCGGCGGCAGGAAGGGGTTGCGGGGAGGAGGGGGCAGCAGCGGCCCTGGTGCCACCAGCACCCGCCGCGGCATGAAGCCTGGTGTTCAAGCTATTGGAATGCCCCCTTCGGTTTGCCATGGCCTGGGGGGTCCGCACCCATCCGAGGGCAAGGGTAGTCGCCCTGTAACCGCCGCCTGACACCTGCGCGGCAGCCAAGGCCGAGACCCGGGAGAGCAATCCGAGGCGGCGCTGCATGAGCGGGGCGGACATGCAAACACGGTTGCACCGCCCTGAAAAGCAGCCTTCACACCCTGAGACCCCATTCAGGGCTAAGCAAGGCATGCTGTCAGAACGCGTGCGTTGCGTCCGCGCCGCCCAGCGCACCGCGACGCCAAAGGATGGCCGCTGCTGCAGAGCTGGCATACCAAGGGGCCCGTTGCTGAGCTCTGGATATACAAATTCTTTTGTCAACTTGAAGATGCGACCTGTCACATTGCTGTCAGGCTGAAAGGGGACGGCCCCCGTGATTCTAAGCAGCGCGGCTAGTACAAAGGTGGCCAAACTAGATCTATGGATGCCCATCATGCCTAACAAGTCCGTCCAGCGCTACGCCTGAAAGTCCCGATGGGTTACCGGGACAGATCAGACGTGCGTTGTGTCGAATGGCAGAGGCATTTCACGGGTACAGTATTGCACGTCAACGTCGATGGTGCAAAGCTGCGTGTCGGCTGCGTTTGGAGACGACCCACAGCGCGGCTGCAGGAGCGAAGTGCACTGCGGTGCGAACTGCAGTCACCCAGAGCGGAAAAAAGCCACTGCGGTCACCCGAAAAGCGTCCGCCGCCGCAGCCAGCCATCATGACTAGCCAGAGCGGCAAAGTCATCTCCTATATTCATCAAGGCGATGTTCAAGACCGGGGATCAAGGTTCGACCTGCATGCCCCAGCAGTTTCAAGCAGCGACGCTGCAGACTAACGCTCTTGTGGCATGACACCACCCCAATCGCTTCAAAGGTCGCTAGTGTCCTGATATATGGGGTATTCCAAGGGACGAGGAACCTGTGCGCTTGCCCGCGTGCAGTGCAAGCGTACGTCTTCATGCCATCAGCAGCTGCGCAGTTTTGGCGCCCCTTTTTGCCAGTAGGGCACAAGGGTGCTCGCTTACCGTGCTGGACGCTGTTTGACAAGGGTGTGGGAAAAAGCAAGCAGGCTGCAAACCACAGTTTGTGGAGCATATCACGCCAGCCAGCTCGCCACCTTGTTTGAAGAGCCCGCAGGCTGCATGTGCACAGATCACTCACGGGTGGGCAAGTCGCATGCCAGCCACGTGAACATGCGTGCTGAGCTGCTTCTGGGGGACCCTCTTGAGTGCTTGGGCTTGCATGCATGTTCCTTGGTTGTGTGCATTCCTTGCCGTTCACGTTGATATGGCAGTATCAATACACAAGGGATGGTGATTGCTGCAATCTTTACAGCAGAGTTCGCTTGTGATGGCCGGATAAATTGGAGGAGCTAAGCAATATTGCAGGTCAAGGTCAATCAGCAGCAACGCACTGCAGTGGGGTCCCCAGCGCTGTTTCTGCACTACACTATGATGCGCGATGCTATCCCTTGGGCGTGTAGCTTGGCGGTTCTTGGGTCGATGTCTGGCTCAATACCGTAGCCCCAAGTTGGTGTGTTGACCGTGATCACAAAAGCAGTCAACCAGCCCAGATGCGCATCAGCAGCTCGGCAGACAAGCAGTAGCAGGTGCAAGCCAATCGGCGCCTAGGTCAATTTGAGAGTCAGGGCGCTCTCACGTGCCGTGCAAGCTCTACGGAAATCACTCCATTGGCGCGGCTCCCATATCGCAACTTATTTCAGCTGGCGTGATCTAAGGGCCTACGCGGGAAGCTTAGATTTGGCGCACGTGGTGAGCGGCTGATGTGCAGTTACGAGTTCGGGCGCACACGGGCACCTGTTGCACGCAGCAGATCTGCGAGTCTGTGACAGCGAGCCCTGGATGTTGCAGTGCGGACTTTTGCGCAGCAGCATTTGAAGAAATTTGCGGTCAAGGTAGTTGCCAGCAGGCAGGTTTGGCCGCGCGCCGCAACCGCACGCGCTCGCCGCCGTGCAAACCACGCAGTGCAGGCACTAGCCTTACGATGCTGAGCCGGCTGGCCTCCTCTGCCGGCCTGCTGGGCCGCCTGGCGGCCCAACTCTCCACCAGCGGAGCCGCCAGCGCCTCCACCGCCGCGTCGGCGCTGCAGCACGCGGCCGCGGCGTCGAGCGGCGCTGCTGCGCAGCGATGGGGCCGCGCCGGCTTTGCCACCAACAGCCACGACATTTTCAACGTCCACCAGGACTCCCCCACAAACAATGCCAGCCTGCCGTTTGACTTCACGCCGGCAAACTATAAGCTGGTGCGCCCGGCGAAGGGATGCGATTGCACCCCACTTCCAGCTGCAGCAGCTAAGCCATCATTGCCGCAGCACATAAGGCCTACCCCCGCTGCGAACCCGCCCCGCAGCACCTCCCTCAGCTCGGCCGCCACCCCAACCGCGCGCCAGGTCGAGAAGATCATATCGCGGTACCCCCCAAACTACAAGGCCTCGGCGGTGATCCCGCTCCTGGACCTGGCGCAGCAGCAGAACGAGGGCTGGCTCTCGCTGAGCGCCCTCAACAGGGTGGCTAAGGTGCGGCGCCCCTGCCGAGCGCCGCGGTGCAGCACGACAGCCGCCGCGCGGCGGGCAGCGGGTGCCGGGACGGCTGCGTCGAGGGCTTGCCGAGCGGCAGCGAGCGCGTGGAAAAAGCGAGGGCGTGCGGGCGGGCGGGCAGCGCCTACCCATTGTCAGCCCGACCCTCTCCCACCCCACAGCCACGGCGACGGCGGCGTCGGGTTTTCGCCTTCCCAACCACGCTGCCCCCAGGTTCTGGACATGCCCGAGATCCGCGTGTACGAGGTGGCCACCTTCTACACTATGTTCAACCGTTCCAAGATCGGCAAGTACCACGTGATGGTCTGCGGCACGACGCCCTGCAGGCGAGCGCACGCGCCCGCACGCGGCGCCGCGCGCGCCCGCCCTCCTCGCATGGTTTGCCGGGCGCGACCCCCTCGCCCGCTGTGCGGCCCCGACGCAAGCCGAGCCGTGGCGCATTCTAGCCCGGCGCGTGCGTGCATGGGCTGCGCGATGCGCCCAGCCAGGCAAAAGCCAGCCTCCGCCTCCGCCCACACGCCTGCCGCTCCGCCGCCGTCATCGCCATTTCCGCGCAGGCTGCAGGGCTCCCAGGGCATCGAGGCCGCTCTAGTGAAGCACCTGGGCATCCACGTGGGCGAGACCACCGCGGACGGCATGTTCACGCTGGGGGAGATGGAGTGCATGGGGGCGTGCGTCAACGCCCCCATGGTGGCAATCGCGGATTACACCAAGGGTGGGTGGGATGGGGGGAGTGGGACGGAGGTGCGTGAGCATAGTATCTTGAGTGTGGCTGTGGGTATGTGGGGGTATGTCTGGGCGCAGGCATATGCGCATTGGGGGGCAAGGTGGGACGCGAGTGCCATCCTGCTGTCTGGTTCTGGTCCGGGTGCAGGAGTGCTGCTTTGCACGCGGCGTCGCAACGCAAGAGCACAAGCGTCGCAGCTGTTTGCCTGTTAGTCCTCGGCCGTGCGCCCGCAGCGACCCCACTTCCTCAAAGCACCCCTTTCAGCCCCAGCCTGTCATCCTGCCCGCACCTCATCCTTGTGTCGCGCCCCCCAACACCCCTCAGGCGTGGAGGGCTTCACCTACAATTACTACGAGGACCTGACACCCGCTGACGTCATCAAGGTGGGCCAAGGCCGGGCGTGCCGCGCTGCGGGAGAGGACAGGGTCCACGGGACAGAGGGGAGGGGGTGCGGATGATAAGGGGCAGAACGCGGCGCCCTCAGCTGGAGGGGGCGTGGCAGGGTTCAGGAAGGGACGAGACTGGCAGGGCTTGGGGCAAGTGGCCAGCGGGCGGAGGGAGGAGAGTAGGCGCGCAGGGAGGCGCTGAGGGCGGGGGTCGGCCGGGTGGCACCCCGCTGTTGCAGCCCTGGCACGCTTCAGGGCGGCCCCTGGGTTGTTTGACAGTTCCTGTCAATGGGTGTTGTCCAGGCACGTGCGTATATGTGCACCCATGCGCGACCACCCACGTACCCGCGCGCCTTGCTCACCCTCGCAACCCCGCCCCGCCCGGCCTCCCACACCCGCCCGCCCCAGATCGTCGACGCGCTGCGGAAGGGCGAGAAGCCGCGCGTAGGCTCCCAGCACCGCAGCAAGGCGGAGCCCGCGGGGGCGGTGGCGGGCGACAAGTGGGTGCCCAGCAGCGGCACCCAGACGCTGACCGGAACGCCGCGGGGCCCCTACTGCAGAGACTTGACAGACCCCACGCCGCCCCCCCCGCCCCCGCCGCCCGCTGGCGGCGCGCCGGCTGGCGCGCCGCCGCCGCCCAAGTGAGCGGCGGCAGGAGAGGGTCGCGGCCGGCGATGGGCTTGGGGATGCGCCGAGCGGCTGGCCTTTAGAGCTTATTCGGTGTGTTCCCTCTGTACCCGGCATTGTTCGGGCTGTTGGTGGACAATTGTATCCTAGTTGCAACCAAGAGGCTTGTTTGGATCTGGCGGCTGCATGTGTGCCTCACCCGGCAAGCTGAGTGTCCATGGCTTGTGTTCAGTGAATTCTTATGTTACATGATGGAAAGTGAGACGACGAGGCTATGCCTCAAATCGACTATGAATGACACAGTCATGTCAGGTGACCGTTGACCGACTTTGCAGGGCCGCGCAGAGGGCATGGCCCCGCTTGTCATGCAACAGAAGTGGCCAGGACGCGGCCAGGCGGCAGCACGCCCGCATGACAGCAACGTTGGCGCCTCCGCATGGACCCTGTCAGACGTTGAAGCCTTCCAACCGCAGGCACGCCTTATGGGCCTCGATCAGCGCTGCGCAGTATGCGTGCTCCTCCCCTGCGGACGACAGCAGCGCAGGGTCAGGGGTTTGGGCGCCAGAAATGCGGCACATGCAGCGGCCAGATGGGTGGGAGTGCAGGGCCGCCTGGCGGGCGTGACGGTTGCACCGCGCGGCGCGTCAGCTGAATGCGCAGCGATGAATCACCTCGCAACGCAATGCACTCGTCCCGAAGCCTCTGCGGAGGGACAGGGGGGCGGGGAGGGGGCGGCGGTCCTTGATGATGGGATGAGGCAAGCTGAAGGCGACGTGTCCATATTTCCATCCACCCACGTGCACCGCCTCTCTCTCCTGTACCAGCACCTCATGGCTGCTTGCACTGCTCCTGTCGGGAACAGAGAGCACCCCGTAACAGTCAGCCGCACCTTGGTGTCGGGGCAGGCACAGCAGATCTTCTTCTTGGGCTTTGCGTCGTCCGCCGGCGCAGCGGAAGCAACAGCAGCAGCTGGCGCTGCCACGGGCTCCTCCTTCTTGCCGAACGGCCACAGCCCCATGCCTGTCGCGATTTTAAGGGTCAGGATTTGCCTTCAGATTCGCTTGCTGTCTAGGACGAGTTCCTAGTTGTGTTGAATGTCACCAGCTTGAATGACGCAAGATCGCAACTTGTCACTGGTTGTCTCTTGACAAGGCTGAATGGTCTTGAATATGGAACGAGCATACGTCGCGACCAACAGAGAGTCTCGCCATACCCAGGGAAGTGTCTGGGGCAGTCAGGACAATCGAGATTGAATCGCGTTGTTGTCGAGCCGGTTGATGGCCTCAGTAACTGATGCATCTGTGCATATGCGCAGAATCACGCGCCGATACCCGTCATACCATTTGACCAGTAGATCGACTCTGGGTCGTTCAGCTCGCCGTCGCCGGCCCGGCGTTTCAGCTCTTTGAACCCTCGTGACTCCAAAAATTACACCCATAAATTTCTTCTCAGCGAAGTGGTGCTCACGGGATGAGCCGGCGCAAGCACGTCACGCAGCAGTCGCTCACACAGGATGTGCAGCCGCCCAGGGCTGGCCAGAGCGTTGTGCGCGCCCTCGGCGCGCGAGGGGGCAATATCGTGGAGGTGCGGCTGATGGGGGCTTGATGGACTCGGCACCCGTACGTGCACAGCCACCTGCACAGCTGCACAGCTGCGGCCGCCGGGCCTGCCGCCCACGCAAAGCAGCCTCCATGCCCGTCGTCGCTGCTGCTCCCCCCAGGTCGAGTACGCGGACGGCCGCTCGACGCTGGTGCTGATGCCGGCGCGGTTCAATAAGAAGCTCTGGGTGCGGCGCGGGGGCTACGTGATCATCGACGAGAGCGAGGAGGCGCAGCAGGATGCAGGCAGCAGGTCCGGCGTGGGGGGGGGGGCCACGGCCCTCGGGAGTAGGGCAGGGCAGGACCGGCGCCGCACGCCTGGCCACGCGGCGGGGACTCCCCACTCCTCGTGTGCGGAGGGAGGGCGCGCATCGCGCCTCTGGATGTTGAGGGTGGCAGCGCGTTGCGTCTACCCAACGGCGCGCCAATCTCTAATGGCCACGTCCGTCCCCTTACCTTGATGCTTCCTAGGGTGACGGGGACCATCGTGTCTGTCCTGTACGATGAGCACGTGCGGCAGCTGCGGCGGACGCCTGGCGCCTGGTGAGCGGGCGGCCGCGGCGGCGCGGTGGATCCTGAGTCCTTTGCCTCCTGCCGAGCAGGGGCGTGGCTGCCCCCGCGCAGTGCGACCGGGGCGCGCCGCGCAGGTGGCCGTGGCCTTTTTGTCCAAAAGGCCATTTTGACCAATTCAGACTTGTCCAGTCAGCTGGCCCGCAACTGGCAGGTGTGTTCTGTGCCGTGCATCTCTGCTGGGTGCCTTCCTGCCAATCTTGATCCCAGTCCCAATCCCAATGCATCCTCAGGCCGCCTGAGTTCAGTGATGAGGCAGGCAGCGCCACCCTGCAGCAGCCCGGGGAGGAGGGCGGGCGCTCGGACGGCGACGACGCCAGCAGCAGCGGGGCCGAGCCCCCAGAGGGCGGGGGAGCAGGGGCGGGCGCCGCGGCCGCGGGCGGCGAATCCAGGGTCGAAGCGGCGTCCGACAGCGGCAGCGGGGACGGCGATGACGACGGGTCGTCGGAAGACAGCCTGGAGCCGCTGCACCAGAACAGCAATCGGCGGGTGATCTACTACGAGGTTTCGGAGTCTGACGAGGATGACGAAGATGAGGAGGACGAGGAGGAGGAGGACGAGGAGGAGGAGGAGGCGCCATCAGGGGTGCGGCTGGATGCGCTAGGACAGGCCGGCGCAGCCGGTCAGCAGCAGCAGCAACAGCAGCAGCAGCAGCAGCAGCGGCAGCAGCAGCAGCGGCCGTTGGGGGCGTTGTCAGAGCAGGAGGTGGATAGTTTGCTGGATGAGCTTGGGCAGAAGCTTACAGCCTGCGAGCTGGGCAAGCGAGCCCCCACCTGAGTGGCCTGTGAATTGGCAGGACCAAACGCTTGTATTTGATTGAGGGGACCGTGCACATCAAAACCTTCAACACGGTTTGATGTGAAAGTGGGGACTGCTGCGCCTTTGCAAGTATCGGTGCCGACCGGTCAGCGCCACGCGCTGACCTGCCTGATTTGCACTCACCTGTTGTCCGACCCTCAATATCTTCGGCCTCAAATGCCGGCACCTCACTCTAACCCAATGCTTGAGAGGATTCCCTTCTTTGAGAGGGGAGGAGTCCCTTCCCTTAATCCTGAAATGTGACTGCCAACATACCTTTGTAACACGTGGATAAGCCGTGAATTGTCCTGCAAATTTTGTGATATGCGCTGGCACAAGCAGTGCCTTTTGTCTGCTGGCCGGTGAGCCGTGCGCTGCCACCAGCCGCGCCAGGGGCCAGCCGCCACAGAAGGGAAATCACATCCAAGCGGGCTGCCGCAGAAGCCAGCCTGCCATGTGGCGCAGCTGGGGCCCCGCCTCCTCGTCTGCCAGGAGCTGCCGGAGCCCCGGCACTGCGGGAGACAATGCAGCGACGAGCGCACTCCCAGAACCAGCCAGGCTCTGCGCCGGGACGGGCGCCGTCGCAACCCCGACGCCGGGCGGGTCGCTGGCGTTGACCACGAGCGGCGGCGCCAGCAACACTGCGCCGGCAACGGAGGGCGGCGCAGCAGCGAGCCCCGCAAACGAACGGTTGCGCCGCAGGCTGCCGCCACCCAGGCCTGCACCTCGCAAGAGGTCGTGGGGGTCTGCGCTGCCTGCGCCGCTGCAGCTGCGCCCCCTGTCGTTGCTGCTGATGCCGCCACCGCCGCTGCTTATCATTGAAAGTGGCCGCCGCAGCTGCCTCGCTTCTAACAACACGTCCTGCGGGCTGTCCGCCGTACAACCCGAGCCGCCAGCCGGCAGCTGCTCCTCCACCGCACCAGGAAGCGCCCGAGCCACCTCCGGCTGCGCCGGCGCCGTGCCGCCCGCCGCCGACGCGCCGGACCGCGGGTCGGCACCTCGTGCCACCGCCGCCCACGCCGCCGCGAGCGCGGGGCAGCCCGCGACTGCGTTGCAGAGCGCCGCAGCCGCATACGCGTCAAGCTCCGCGTGGCCGAGCGACACGCATTGTGTGAGCACAACAAGCGTCTCGGGGCGCGCTGCAAGCGCCGCAGCGCCGGCTGCGCAGGCGGCAAGGTTGGCGCAGATCCCAGCTGCGCTCGTCAACAGCGGCAGCGCGCTCGCCGCAAGCAGAGCCTCGGCGCCGCCGTCCCCCAGCGCCGCCGCGGCGGACGCTGCGGCTGCTGCAGGGGCGGGCCCGCCGCCGTAGCTGGCAGCATCCGCCCCTGCGACGCCTGGGGCAACGGAGGCGGTGGCGGCGCGGGCTGGTGCAGCGGGCGCCGC